CAATTTTTTTCTCAAAAGAATATTTGTGATAAAATAGACTTTCATATCGTGCGACAAACTTTGTGATGTAACCAACCCTTATGCATGCGAGTCTAAACGTGGGTTACCAAGGCAAAAGTGGCCCCGGTAAAATTCACGAAGTGATTCTCGTTGATAATAGAACAAAGGAAACTCATTGTTTCACGAGACAAGGCGAGATTGTCTCAAATATTTTGACGGAGAATGTTGGTTTCCACATACTCCGTTTCCTTTAGTTACTGTGATATTGTTGTTAACTGTTGTGGGGTAGACATCTCTCGTTCGGTTTGTAAGAAATATCGGTCCATTCTTCTTCTTTTTTTTTTTTTATTGCGATACCTTGGCGACATTTGAGTTGGAAGACAAAGATAACCCCAGCCCTCAAAAATAAAGACCAACAACACTTTTCTGCATCATAGATTCCGCAAACAGAATAATCAAGTTTATAAGCAGGCTTTAAAGAACTCCTTCAACACTTGGTTGAACAAACGTCTATAAATCGTAACAAGCAATACAAGAAAAAATACTAAGCTAGGTCAGGATAGTTAAGGTAGTTAATTTCCATGAAATTACAGCAAATTCAAATCGTTTTTACTAACATCATCTGCGGTGTTAAAACTGTTTGCTGAAACTTCAGCGAATATTGAATTATTGATTAGTTCGTTATTATAAAAAAAAAATGTTCTTGATCCCATCAAAATAAACGTTTTCCGCAACGTCGTTATAATTCATTATTCCTAATTTCTTTGGGAGACTGTTACTGTACATGGTGACATGTGTGTTGTAAATTGAGGAACATAAATGGGAGGGTTTTAATTTATCATTTCAGAATAAAAAATGAACGTCAATCCTAAAAATAAGGACTTAATCCCGAAGCAAATTATACAAATGAACTTCATCAGAAGCTTCAATGATAGTAGAAGAATCGTTATGTTCTAAATAACACTACTGAACAAAATCAACCACATCCTAACATACTTTTTTTTTCAATATTTCAAAAAAATTAAAATAAATGAATTAATTTTCGGTGAATAAGTGCTGGAAATCACTTTTCTTTTTTTTATAAACTTATTTGACCCAAAACATTTAGTCAACTCTTTTAACAATAATCTTTTTCATAATAATTTATAATCCTTGAAATCGCTTGGCACATTTCAAAATACAACCTAAAAATAAATTCCTACTTAATGTCATTTCAATTACCATCAAAATAAAGATGATTATGTTTGGAAGTTTATAGATTTTAGATAATATTACTCGGAACTTATTGCTGCTTAATGTTCCTTTCTATGGTTGCTTTATATGATCTACCTTCAATTATTACTTTTCTCTCTAACCAGTGTTTTTTATCCGTAAAATAACTTTGCCACAATATAAGCGTCAAAAAAACTTCTTGCTAACAAAATATGCCACATGAAGAGCCTTTTTTTAAAACCCTTACTAGCTCAAACGTTGTTGAATATTCTCAACTTTGATAAGCGGATGTTTCCAATATCTTCTGTTTCCTTCATAATCTTTATCTATGCACAATCCACGTGCACAAGAAAACTCTGGTCGTTTGAGTTGGAAAATGGAGTTAACAAGTGGTCTCGGTTCGGCCAAACAGGCCAATGGGAAAGTTTTTAATATGAGTAGGCCACTGGGATGACAATGAAAAAAACTTGACCCCACTCCACGTCACTCCGTCAATAACAACTGTAAATAGACGAACAGAATAACAACTGTAAATAGACAAACAGAATAATAACTGTAAATAGACAAACAGAATAACAACTGTAAATAGACAAACAGAATAACAACTGTAAATAAACAAACAGAATAATAACTGTAAATAGACAAACAGAATAACTGTAAATAGACAAACAGAATAACTGTAAATAGACAAACAGAATAACAATTGTAAATAGACAAACAGAATAACAATTGTAAATAGACAAACAGAATAACAATTGTAAATAGACAAACAGAATAACAATTGTAAATAAACAAACAAAATAATTATGACAACTGAAAATAGATTAACAGAAAAAAAAATCAGAGACTAAGTGAAGACTAAATAGAGAGCTCACCATTTAATGTACTGCTCTGTCCTTTAGTAGTGCAGATCAGTTTCGACACATTCACCATTACTGGTTGGTTCTTGGAATCAGCGTCTTTCTCTTTGGATTTTTTCATGGAACGCATCATTGCCTCGAGTCCTGTGACAACAAAAAATAGCACCATTTCACACTTTAGCATCGAAGAGAATACCGATCTGTAGTGGAATGCTACAAGACAGTGTTTGGTCTAAATGGCCTAGACTTTGATGATTAATTCGAATTTTGTAGAGGTAAACTAAAGCCAACCATCCACAAAAAATACAAACTAAATTAGCTAAAGTTAACTCCTTTAAGGACCCCTTCTTCGTTATTATTATTATTATTATTATTATCATCATTATTATTATTATTATTATTATTATTATTATTAAATTTCAACACCTTACTCGCCACACTAACCGGCTTGCTCCGCCACACAGCCTAAGAATACGTTATCACTGGAATATTCAGAGAACTCTCTGGTTGCTTTTTCTCAAAATCGTGATTATGGCTCCTAGTATTGACAAGTAACTCTCTTGCTGACACAGGACTGACTTCCACCCACACATCCTTCACACTAACAATAATAATAGCATTTCAAAAGTTCAGACCTCTTTTATTACGTTCTTTGGTGACCGCCATTACTGAAAGCGCAGACGATTCCTCAGGAGTTGAAAGTCTTGTAACCACCAGCGTTTTGAAAGTTGTTTTAAGCGAGGACTAAAAATCAAAACAGGGAATGAGACAAAAGCATTAGCAATAACAAATTAGATGGTGCTGTGCAATTGGTGACCTAACTTACTTTGTTGACATCTTTTTTATTCCCCGCTGCAAGCCAGTAGTCCACTTGAAGATCCATCTGTTCACTTGAGTATAGGCTCCCACCACTGCTCTCCTGGAGCCTGGTGGGTACAAAAGTACTAGGCATCAAGAATTATTATTATTATTACCGCCTTTACCTGAGAACAAAGAGAATAAACCCCTTTATCCATATCACAGCTACAATACCCAAAAACGCGACCAAGCATTAGGGTTGGTTTCCATACGATAGCTGCGATCGTTTGCAATCACAGATGCAAGAGTATTGTGGAGTAGATAATACGATATTACGATTACCGCTGTAGATGAAACTTGGTTTCCGTTTGAAAGCAGATCGCCAGCCACTCTTCCTGGCGATCGCATCGTTATATGGAAACAAAGCTTCAAGTTTAAAGGCAGAAGTAAAACTTAATATGGAGTGGTCCAAAGTTATAGCATTACTAGCCTATTACCATAAACTAAGAAAAGTAGGGCAAGAAAACAAGCAATATAATGGGCGAATACAAAATCTGACGGTCTTTATTAGAAGATGAAAGTAATTAGCGTACCCACTCAAAGGAGGGCTTGAAAATGGAGGCGTTTGCGAAGATCCTGGAGCAGGAGCTTGACTGTCACCCCTAGAGACAGCCCCTGTACTTTTGGCTCCAGTGCTCGATGGTGTTCCACTTGTCGCTACAGGTTCTTCGTCTGCTTGAATAAAACTAAGTCAGAATGAAGTTAAACGCTAAAAACGACGAATTCATTCCAAACAGTGAATTACCTTGGTATATGTCGGCTGATCCAATCCTAACATCCTGCAATGAAAACGTACACGTCAAACTACTGTGTATCTTGTTCCATTCCCTATGAATTACGACCAGCCCCTTCCTTGAAAATTCAGCTAGTTTGGCGGCAGGCACTAAGGGCGAACCCCCAGTTGGGGAATGGCCCGTTGACAGTGGCCAAAGCAACCTGGATCCAATTATGGAATGATTGAAACATTTTGAGATTTCTTGTTATTCCATACCCAGGAATTTGCTCTGCAGATTATCTACTTCCTGAGTTTTACGATAACAAGCTATTGTGTTTCGATACGAACGAAAGTTTTTTTGAGATTATTTTCTGCGATATTCAATTATTGCAGCAGAACAAAAACAAGGGTGGAAAAGGCGTAACTTCAGCTTTTATTAATTGCCGAGTGGCTGCATATTCAATTTTATTGAGACATTTCATTGAACCCTGATGCGTCTTCAAGGATAACACAAAAACAAAATCAAACAAGAAGAGTTTGGCGATCATAATGGCTAAGTAATTATAACCTATTTTTTTATTTTAAAACCACAGTCATAGTCATAGTCAAGAATGCTGACCCTTTAAACATTTTTATATCTCATGATACGATTGTACCCAAAAACACCCTAAAAGAATAAAATTTTTGGTTAATGTTTTATTACTTTTCACTCAATCGTCCTACGCTTTACATCGAATTGATTACTTACACAAACAAAAGGCAAAAACACTTGAGAAGATCCTTCCTCTGATCTAGAAGATGAACAGGAATACAGCATGACAATACGAGCTTTTCGTAATCAAGCATTCCAAACAGACTTGGATATATTCCGTTGGGGCGTGCTTTAAAAGCTGAGTACAGACAGCCCTATCTATCGGTATCACCGAGCTAAAATATCGCCGCAACCAAGGGAGAAATAAGGCAATGAAAGTACAACAGTTATCGCTCACCCTTTTAGTTTTGTATTCACAAGAGCCTCAGCAATCGGTAAGTTGTGCGTGATTGTCGCTGCTGACATCAGAGTTTTAACTCGCCTGCTCACCTCCTCGAAATCTAACAGAACAAAATTCCGAAAGGTAATCAAAGACGATAATAAGACTACAATGACACAATAGTACAGTATGGTATATCAACTACACCAAAATAGTATTATGGGTAACTGGACAACAACATTATACTAGAGAAGTAAAGTAACCACGTTACAATAGGACATATTTTTTTACACTTCGGTGGTGCCTTGGTGAGAGCACTCACCAACCACCAGTAGTGTCGTCTGGATTCTACAAGTGGATATATCCTTGATCTGCTAATACGATTCACTCAAAAGAGGAATGTGAAAGTATCACCACGGGAAATAGCATAGGATAAGTAGTTAAATTATCTTTTCGTTTTCATATAAACTACCTCGCTTAGAGTAAACAAAAGCTAAAAAAGACCTCCCGACTTACCAATAGCAGTGTCTGAATGCTCAAAAGCTTCTCTCCAAAAGTTATCCATAAAAAGTGAGTTGTACCTTGCATCTAGTCCTCCAATGTGCCTGGCCAGAGGTTGACCGTCTGAAAACAATGCAGACCAACAACAGTAAACCTTGAGAACCAAAACGTTGTCAAGGAACAACATAGTCTGGCTAATACTTATAGCCAAGGTGTATTCCTTCCCATGATAATTCCAAGCGACATGATATGGAAGAAATTTCACAGGTTAGAAAGTCTTACTACAAATTGCACTCAATAGTCATTGTCTTCTCAATTCACTTGAATGGCCTTTTTTTTTCTTTTTTCCTTTTTTTTTTTAGCTACAGACCATTTTTGGTTTGAAGAAAACTTACCAAGAGGAATAAGGAGAAATCGAAGAAAAGTCTGCCAGTCTGGTGGCTTGGAAGAAAAGTATTCCACATACGGCTGAAGAACAGCACTAATATATGACTCTGTGCCCGCAATGGCCACACCCAACTGAGGCGGGGAAGCTGAATGAGTATTTATACTAGCAAAAGAAACAGAATTGAGAAGAGAGTATGAAAGACAAGACCTGTCAGTCAAGTCAGAAAATTTACAACGTCTGAGACTCTAACTCATTGGAATATCTCAGTGAATTTGTGTAATTTATATTTACTGTGGTGGATTAAGCTAGCTTACATAAGCCCTTCCTCATTTCTATAGGGAAAAGCTACTATTTTATAAAAAGTTAGCTTTCCTCCATTCGAAGTAAGGGGTGAACTCCCGTTACCGGCTGACAAAGCAGGTCAGTTTCTTTACAAACTAACTGATTCATTCATTAATACAAATGCAGAAACAAACGTTTTCTGTAGTCACAAGAGAGATAGAAAAACATGGCATATGGAAATAAACTTTGCTTACAATTTCTGGTATCTATTGACAATGGCTAGAAATACAGCCTGCACATCAGAACTGGATCTTGTACAAATCATCTTCACAGCTTTGTCACAGAGCTTCAATGCCAAAAGCTGCACAAAATAAAAACAAACATGTGCTGTCAACTTTTTAACACACAACAAAATACTAACATAATTTCAGCAATCATGTAAGAGATTTTTAAACGTATTTAAAATTTGTGAGTTTGAACATAATGAGCTGGTTTTTTAAAAAACTAGCAGTGGAATGCCATTTATTTAATTAAATCAACCCTCTCATAGAGAATTCATGAAGTCCTCTATTGGCATAAAACCATGGTTTGGGTTAGACCTTGTGTTCATAACCAGTCCAATAAGTTTAGTCAGATTCTTTTCTTTAAAAAAAAAAAAAAGATCTGAATTTGAAGTGAGATAGAGATGCCTAGCAATAATCCCACCACATATTTCATATAAAACACCAATAAATGTTTGACAATTACCTGGCCCTGCCACTCAGAAGTACTAATCAACAGAATGCATTCAGGAATGTCACTATCCCCAGACAGCACACTGCTAAGTTGTTCGTTCAAGGTGCCTCTGGGTAGCTGACAAAATAAAATACTATCAACTTAACATTTCTTTGTAGAGTTGAATAAAAATCCTTCACCCATAAATTACATCAATTTCAACAACAATAAGACACATTTGGACCCACCTGCAGGTCAACATCACTATTTCTCCTCTTTGTTAAGGTGTCTGGCTCTTCTGTTTTCCTTCTTTCCTTGAATGACACACTGCGACGAACTGAGGGTGTGTCATCAACACCTCCAGGCCCCGATAAAAGGTCAGATGAGTTTGTGATGTCTGATAAGTTATCTCCATCAGAGTGTGGGCTCACATCCTTGAAACAAGAGGACCACTCATGGTCTGAGATCAAACTGAGCAAACCTCCTACATGTGATTATTCAGAGAGCACAAAGAAAGGAGAAACAGACATCTAATCCAATCCTTCCAAGTTTGATCTCAGTTTCCCTTCTATTTTTTGTGCTCCCCAGTCTCACTCACTCACTCCTCCATCTCACTTGTTCCCCCTTGTCACACTCACTGCCATGTTTTACTCACTCCACCCTGTCTCTGTACCTCCCACTGTTTAGGTCACTCCTCCTGCCTCGTTCACTCTCCCTGTCTCTGTCCCTCCCCCCGTCTCTGTCC